CTGCCACTCAACTTTCATCTGTGGCTCCAAGAAGCTGTAGGATGCACAGTGGCTACACCCGGGTAAAATCATCTGGGCATATAGGCTAAACAAAGTTGAGGGTAACCAACAGGCCTCAAATCCATCAGTGTGTTAGGGGGATGTCTACCCCAAACATGTGAAAACTTCCCCCAACAGAAAGAGCTGATGAGAACAATTTGTTCCTATGGCCTTGAAGGTGGCTGAAGCAGGCACTATGGAGCACTTAGAGCTTGGGCAGATATCAAAGACGCCAAAGTCATCCACTGCCTTCCAGACCATTGCTGGTTGTCTTACCACTAGACACTCAATGACTCTGGAAAAGAGAATGAGGCTGATAACTTTGTGCAACTTTCGTCACTTAAGTCCGATTCATGTGCAAATCAAGACATCACCCTGTGATGTCATTGGTCCTCTTCAAAAACGAAGGATGGATGAACAAGGAAAGCTCAAATCTATGATCTTATAATTCAGTGTTGGTCATCTTAATTCTCAGGAAGCAGCTGGATGAGGGCTTTAAATCTCATTTCCTTTGGCTTAACTACAGAATTGTAAGGGGCCTCAGAAACAATCTAGTCTTACCCATGATGATTTTGAAGATGAATCCTGTCAACAGCACATTGATCCTCTAGCCAACGAAGGAGAACCCACTACCTCCGCATGCATCCAACTCTCTTTTTGGATAACACTAATTGTTAGAAGTTTTTCCTTTACATCAGAGAAAAATCTATCACTCTAAGCTTTCATCAATTGTTCTAAGTTCTTCCCTCTGGGGCCAAGCAGAATAAATTACATCCTCCTTTTACATTACTCCTTCAGATACTAAAGACAGTGATAATGTCCCCTACAGTTTCTCTTCTCCAAGCTAAATATCCCTAATTCTTTCTCCCAGCTTTCATGTGGCATGACCTGGGTATGTTTCTTTATTTAGCCTGCTCTTCTCAGGATGCAATCCAGCTTTTATTAATTCTCCTCTTACACTGTGGTGCCTGGAACTGAACATATTAGTGTTGCCAACCAAGGCAAGGTGCACCTTCTTGTTACTGGACACCATGTTTTTCTTAATGCAAGCTTAGATTGTATAAACTTTCTTGGTTGTCATGTTAACCCATTGACTCATATTGATCTTACAATCCATTAAATCCTCCAGATATCTTCCAGAGAAATTTCTATCTAGTCCTGTCTACTTTACCTTGGGATTTACTTGTGAACCCAAGTAAATTGAATTTTACTCATTTCAGCCCAAACTGCTAGACTGTCAAGATCATAGTATTATAGGATCATATATTTAGAATTGGAAGGGATCCTAGAGAGGGAGTCCAACTTCTTCATTTCATATATTAGGAAACTGAGGCCCAGAGGGATTATGTGACTTGCCATGGATTATACAGCTGTGCAAGTCTAAGGTGGGATTTGAACTCAGGTCTTCTTGACTCCAAGCCCTGAACCCTATCCACTATGCCATGTTGCCTCTCCAGTCAGGATCTTTTTGGATTCTGACTCTATCATCCAACATGTCAGATATCCCGCTCAATACCTGAGTCATGATGAGTCTGTTGTCCATTCTTTTAACTAAACCATTGATAAAAGTGTTGAACAGAGCAGGGCCACACACAAATCCTTAGGACATTCCACTACAGACCTCCTTCCAAGCTGACATTCAATGATTAATGATTTTTCTTTGAGTCCAGTCATTCAGCTATTTCCAAATACACATAAATAGTATCATCTAGGCCACATGCATTTAGGCCTTCTTGTCAACAAGAACAGCATGAGCTGTTGTTAAATGTCCTGCTACATGCTAGATCAGTTACATAGCATTCCCATAGGTCTAGTAACCCTATCAAAAAAGGAAGTAAGATTCATCTGCATGACCTGTTTTTGATGAAGCTTTGTTGGCTTTTTGTGACAAATGCTTCCTTTTCTAGATGTTCTCGGACTCTACTCTTCTTTTTGTAAAAACTGAGAAGGTTGTCCTTCTCCCACCATATAACATCTCTCTTGTCCTCCACAGTCTTTTAAATATTGCCAACAGTCACTCATCAATGATATCTGCCACTTATTTCAGCAGCCTGGTATATAGTTCATCTGGGCCAAAGTGATCAAGAGTAGTTGGGCATTCCTTTATCATCTCTCTCCTTATCTTAGGTATCAAATCCCTAGTGTCTATTTTTATTTTGTTCTTTCTAGTCCAATTATCATTTTTCCTTAATGGAGAAATCAGAAGCAAAACAAGAGCTGAGCAGTTTTGGCTCCTATCTGTGGCTGGGTATCATCATTCCATCCAGCCTGAGCATTAGTCTTATCCCTTCTTTAATTTTTGTCATTTTGTTAATATAGTAAAGAGCTGCCTTTGTTATCGTTAGCTTTTCTCAGTTCACTATGAGATATAGAGCTCCTGACACTAGTCTTATGGGACCATGCCACATTTTTATCTTTTGTTACCTGTCCTTTCCTGCATCTACTGTACATGCCTTTTACAAATCTAAGTTGGTAAAAATGAGTTCCCTCTGCATCCACATCGGTATCTTTAGCTAACTCCCTCTTTTTCTCTATAGAGTTATTCTCTTTTGGTTTTTATCTTTAAGAGCTTCCTACTTGCCTTAAGCTGACTTTCCTTGAAGAATTTTAGCCCATGGTAACATATTTATGAGTCATTTGGAATCTGCTTTCCCCAAATCTAGAGTTCACACTAGATTTTATTGGCTTTTCTCCCCCTCATGATCACAGTTTCTATTTCTAATTTTATAGTAATGAAATACCTTGACTTTTTCATCAGGTCCAATCCCACTTCACTTACATAGTCAGCTTAAAGTCAAAAGCCCTATAATTCTTCCATCAACACTAGATTCCTCTAAATGGAGGCCATTATACTCAAAGCTATTTTTCAATACTCCAATATGCCAATGGATTTGAGATCTCGTTGATGTGGATACTGCTAACAATACAGTACAATCCAGGGGCAGCTAGGTGGTGCAGTGGATAGAGCACTGGCCCTGGAGTCAGTTCAAATATGGCCTCAGACATTTGACACTTACTAGCTGTGTGACCTTGGGCAAGTCACTTAACCCATTGCCTGGCAAAAAACAAAAACAAAAACAAACAAACAAATACAGTGCAATCCATCCATGTCTGCTCATCCTGTACTACACCTTTCCTCCATGTCCTTCATCATAAAGTCCAACTTCAATGTTTCATCAGGGAGATAGAGGTGACCCATGGCTCTTAGGGGAGCTTAGGCTCTCATAGATGCTACTAAAGGGGAAAGACTTGATCTGTTGTTTGAAAATTAACCTATGAATCAATCGACAATGACTTATTCAGCACTCAATATGTACCAGGCACAGTTCTGAGTATTAAAGATATAAAGATAAAATCAAAATAGTTTCTTGCCTCAAGTTGACATTCTGATTATGACATGCACATGTATAGCATATACATAATAAATATTAGATTAATACAAGGTGGTTTGGGGAGGGAGCTCAGGAAAGGCTTCATGTAGAAGATGGCTAGTGAAAGTCTCTCGAAGGTTGTTTCTTGAAGGATTTAAGGTATTCTAAGAGGTGGAGGTGATGAGGGAGTGCATCAAAGATATGAGGGACAGCCAGTGAAACCATACAAAGAGAGAAGGAAAAGCTGTGTATTTAGGACTGTAGACCAGTGTGGCTGGATTGCAAAGTAAAAGAGAGTAATGGATAAGACTGGAAAGGTAGAAAGTGTCTAGGATGTGAAGAGATTTAAAGGTCAAGCAGAAGAATTTATATTTCAACCTAGAGGAAATGGGGAACACTGGGGATCAGGGAGATGACATGATCCAATGTATGCTTTAGGAAAACCACTTTGGTGGCTGTGGACAATGGCTTCAAATGGGCAGAAGTTTGAGGCAGAGAGACCAAGTAGAAGCCTATTGCCATAATCTAATGAAAAGGGATGAGGACCTGATCTGGGGTGGTGACTACAGGAGTGAAGAAGAAAGAGGGCATGTATGTGGGAGATGTTGTAGAGATAGAAATGACAAGAGTTGGCAATTGATTGGATACATGGGATGAGTGAGTCAGGAGTCAAGGATAACGTCAAAATTGGGAAACTAAGTGACTGGAAGGATTTGTAAAAGCTCATTATGGGATTGTTAGTGTGATAATTTTTTTTTCTTTTAGAAATTCATGGCTACCATCTATGAAATCTTTTTTTTTAAAGGCAATTGGGGTTAAGTGACTAGGCCAGGGTCACACAGCTAGTAAGTGTCAAGTGTTTGGTCTGAGGCCGGATTTGAACTCAGGTCCTCCTGACTTCAGGGCTGGTGCTCTGTCCACTGCGCCACCTAGCTGCCCCCCATCTATGAAATCTTGGAGGGCTTGTAAGCTGCCTATATGGAGGAAACATCCAAGTAGCCCAAATCTCAAATTCTTGAAACATCAAATAAATTAACATGGTAAACGGCCAAAAATAAAATCAATGTGAAGAGAAAAATTGATTCCCCTATTTCCCACAGTGCCCATAAATTTGCTTAGTGTGCCAATTTTGCAAACTAGGTTTTGAGACCCTGCGGAAACCAGAGAGACCCACATTTTATATTTCCCTCAAATTTTACCACAAACCACAACTTCTTGGGCAAAACAAAGTAGTCGAGTAAGCATGTTTACCTTACACTGACTAGGAAGTTGAAACTTGTCTATAACAGATGACTCATCATTTTAGGTCTATAAAAGTAAAGGCACCATTCCTTTGGCAAAACAGCAGCTTCCAAGTGTAAAAAGCCAAGATGAAGCCAGGTGTCATAGCTGCTGCCTTCTTTCTATTGAGCTGGACATATTGTTCAGCTTTCCCTCTACCCCATGATGATGATGATGATGATGATGATGGTGATGATGATGACCTGACACAGGGGGACTTTCAGTTGGCAGAGGTAGGATATTGTAGTGTTTTTGAATGTCCAATTAGGCTGATATTTGGGATTATAACAGTCACTGTTTCTTTTTTAGAACTATTTGAGGACATACTACAATTTTTATTCTAACCCTGCTGGCATACTGATGAAGAAGACATCGAGCACTGCAGCAGAAAAACTTAGAGAAATGCAGTCATTCTTTGGCTTGGAAGTGACTGGCAAACTGGATGATGACACTTTAGATGTGATGAAAAAACCACGATGTGGGGTACCTGATGTGGGAGAATATAACTTTTTCCCCCGAAATATCAAGTGGCCTAAGTTTGACTTAACCTACAGGTAAAATGCTAGATGGCTTTTGTCACTTATTTGTTATTTTTGTGTTTAACTGTCTAATTTCAATCATAAGAAAGTTGAGTTATAAGAAAAGTAAGTGACATGTATAGCCCTGACAGAATATTATAATTTTCCAGTTAGTATGTGGAATTCGAGTCCAAAAATATCCTGTGCACTGATATTTCTTCCTAGCTCTGTGAAAAAATTGTAACATGAAATTGCCTTATATTTTGAAGTAAAACCATAATGTATGTGAAAAGCCTTTTTTTCCCCTCTAAAAATGACAAAATATGCTTTAGAGAATCACTGTAATTCATTATAATTATGGACATGGAAGACTAATTAAAAGATGTGCTTTACAAATGTATGACAGATATCACACCAATACACTATGATAGAGCAAAAGGCACAAAGATGAACTGTTTCCTTTTTTAGGAAACTTGTAGCTATTTTGTCTCTTCCGTATCAACAGAAACCCCCAAACTTCTGGATGCAAAATGAAAAGTTCCATAAAACATCTGGAGACTTTGTCTACATGATGGCAAACATCTGCCTACTTAAAGATGTCCAGATGTTGGAATTTTTCATTTTCCACCAACTGATTTGAAATCATGTTGATCAGGACCCTTCATGCATTCATGAATAAAATCTTGGAAATCAGGAGCTACTTTAAATAAATAGAGAGCTCTATGCAGTGAAATGTCTGGTAGTCTTCTAAGGAAGTTCATTCTAAAATAGAATTAATTTTAAAAACTTTGAAAGAAAATTAACTTTAGTTTCCTCTGATGAACAGGATCCTGAATTACACCCCAGACATGACCCAAGCAGAAGTAGACAAGGCAATAAGAAAAGCCCTGAAGGTCTGGTCTGATGTGACACCACTCAACTTTACCAGGCTCCACGATGGTACTGCTGATATCATGATCTCCTTCGGAACAAAAGGTAAGAGAGCAGAGCTACTCTCTAGAAATGCTTTTTGGGCTTTGGACCATTTTAAAAATGGGATTGCCAAATGCTGCTTTGATTTGCAGAACATGGAGACTTCTACCCCTTTGATGGACCTTCTGGACTTCTGGCTCATGCCTTTCCTCCTGGGCCCAACTATGGAGGGGATGCTCATTTTGATGATGATGAGATCTGGACAAATAGTGCCAAAGGTAATTTCATTAATATTTCAAACTGAACATTTAATTTAGAATATCTATGTAGTCTAGTAATTCTAGGTTAGGCTACAGACTTGATCACTTTAGTAAGAAATTATTGGCATTTCAAGTGAATCATCATACTTTATGTTTCCTGCGTGTGTATACATATATACACATATAGGTGGTTCAAGTGAATCATCTTACATGTAAGTGTATGTGTAAAGCATGATGATTCATTTGAACCTTCTATTAATGTACATATACAAATATGCATATATGTGCACGTATACATATGTGTATGTATTATATAGGTGTGTATCTACATTTCTGTATATACCACTTTCCCTCTATCTCTCTGTCTATGTCTGTCTCATTTATCTGCATATCTCAATCCTACAAGAATCTGTGCTTGCATTGTAGATGTGACCATTCCACCCAACTCTGCAGAGCCCAAGCTGACCACTTCCCCACCCTGATAACTTAGTAGATAACCTTCATGAGTAGTAGTGGGAGAAAAAAAAATCACTACCTGGAGGTCAGTTTTCTGGTGATATGCGTCTCCTCTTCCAACTCGGTGAGGGTGATCCTTTGGTAACAGACATATTGTCTTTAATGGTACCTGCATGTGAAAACTTTACCAGGTTTGTAGCCTCTGCAAGGGCTTATGTTCCATTGACGTAGCTTTCAAGAATTCCAGCGTTTGCTGAAGAATGTACTTCTAGAAATCTAAAATTCCTTAGGCCTAAACAATTCAGCAGTCTAATTAATGTCCTTTTAAGAAATATTGGAAATAAATGAATTAATTGATCTCCTAATGTTATAAAGGAAAGTCATTGCTCAAAGCATGTATAGGACCTGACCCCTACTGTCCTGTTTCTCAGAACAATTACTTTTCCGGTAGGTATCTTTCCACTTTTTGTACGTCTTTATGTGTGTTGTAGTATTGGGAATGAAAACTTGCCATCCAAAGCTGGGGATTTTTTTGATGCTGGTTGCCTTGTATATGAAACTATACTGGGTTATGCAACTAATATATATTTTCTATGTGTAGTGAGTGTCCTGTCATATTTTAACAGCCCAGTTTTCTGACCTCATTTAAAGGAGAGGTGGAGAATCAAGCTTTTCACACTGAATTCATATGAATAGGTTTAGTTCAGGTAATTGATATTCAAATTTGGTAGCCAGAAATTATCAACAGCACACACAAACAAGTTTAAATTATTTAAATCAATTGATGTTATGCTACTGAATGGTAATTATAAGAAAATGAATAAAGTGAGAGCTATATATAGGCACAGTGAGCCCCTAGGTAGCTCAATGGATAGAGTGCTGGGCCTGGAGTCAGGAAGACTCCTCTTCCTGGGTTCAAATCTGGTCTTAGACACTTACTAGCTGTGTGACGCTAAGCAAGTCATTTAACTCTGTATGCCTCGGTTTCCTCATCTGTTAAAATGAGCTGAAGAAGGAAATGGCAAACCCAAACCCAAAAGGGGTCATGAAGAATTGAACACAATTGAAAAATGGCTGAGCAACAACAAATATAAGAGAGAGGATGAAAATATGAAGGTGCCAAGGAAGTAGCACCTAAATTCAATTCAATTTAAATAAACTCTAGTTTTAATTATGTAAACATATATTGGTCAACTATTATAGTCAAGCCATTGTGCTCTGTGAATAATTCCAAGATTGATAATAATAACAATAGTAATAGTAACAATAAATAATTCATGTTTCTATAAGGACTTCAGGCTTACAAAACCTTTCTTCAGGGATATACCTCTGTGAGGTAGAAAGTACAAATACCACTGACCCCAGGGATAAGACAAGGTCAGTTTTTTTGAGGGTAAATCAAAGTAGTAGCTTGATACAGCATTAGACTTTGGAGTCACAGTATCTGAGTTTGAATCCTAGTTTTGAATTTGCTAGTTATATGATTATATACAAGTTACTTATTTGATCTTCAGTTCCTTATCTGTTAAATGACTATAATAATAATAAAATAATAATGATAACATTTATATAGAACTTCAAGGCATGCAAAATGCTTTACAAATATTATTTCATTCTTTTCTCACCACAATCTTGTGAGGTAGATTCTATTATTATCTCCATTTTGTAGCTTAGGAAATTGAGGCAGATAGTGGGTAAGTGACTTTCTCAACAGTCTTTGATCTCAGATTTTCCTGATTCCAAGTCTAATGCTCTGTCTGCCATATCACCTCTCGGTGTAATGATATTTGTACCACCTGCCTCACAAGGCTGTTAAACAATCTTTGTAATTTTTTTAAAGTGAGTTTTCATTAAATGGGCTTGGCTTTTTTTTCTTATAGGATATAACTTGTTTCTTGTTGCTGCCCATGAATTTGGCCACTCCTTGGGCCTGGACCATTCCAAGGATCCTGGTGCACTTATGTTTCCCATCTATACCTATACTGGCAAAAGTGGCTTTGTACTTCCTGATGATGATGTACAAGGCATCCAGACTCTTTATGGTATGATATAGATAGATATGATTAACCAGAATGAGTGCATGTGTTAGTTTTCTAAAGCTCAACTTTCTGCGCACCCATATTAGCTTATCCCTTAAATCTGGAGAGAATACGGCCACATTTTTCTAAAATGACCCAGAAAGACTGAATAGAAAACCACACTTCTTGGGCATTTAAAAAAAATTTTGGTATGTTGGTGTTTAAAAATATCCATGGATGGTGGATAGAATACCAACTTTGGAATTAGGAAGATGTAGGTTCAAGCCCTGAATCTAACATTGACTAGTTGTGTAATCATGGGCAAATCATGTAACTTCTCAGAGCCCCATACAACGCTTCAGGTTCATAAGTTACAGGTGAGTTGTCAATCTACGCCCTATGGGGGGCAGCTAGGTGGTGCAGTGGATAGAGCACTGGTCCTGGAGTCAGGAGGACCTGAGTTCAAATCCGGCCTCAGATACTTGCCATTTATTAGCTGTGTGGCCCTGGGCAAGTCACTTACCCCTGATTGCCTTGCCCCCCCCCCAAAAAATCTGCAATCTATGGAAGGAGTTCCCTCACCAGGAGTTCCCTACACCAAAGAAGTCTCAAATATATACCAAACAAACAAATATTCTCAAACACAACCTAAATTTCTTTCCTACTTTGTATGTAACATATACACATATGTGCTTTGCAATGTATGTTCTTTTGTACGTGTTAATCTTATCTGATAGTCACAGTAACTATGTGAACTGGGTCAGAGGAATATTTTCCAGGGGAGGTAAATGAAGGTTGAGTGGTTTGCCCATTAGCTTACAGGTGGAAGTGCAAACACAAGTTTCTTGGTTTTCTGTGCAATGCTTTTTCTACCATCTCATGTTGGGAGAGAGATGAGGGGAAGGACTCATCAACAGCAGTCCTGTGGCCTCCTGCAATGGGATGGTAACTTTTGCATGAAACGCAGTCATTTCACATTAGAGAACCAGCCATCCTTAGGATTCAATTCATGGTTTCAGGCCCTGGAGATGAAGACCCTGACCCTAAACATCCCAAAACCCCAGACAAATGTGATCCTGCCTTGTCACTGGATGCTGTCACCAGCCTTCGAGGAGAAACAATAATTTTTAAAGATAGGTAAGTACGGTATTAAGACAAAGAACGAACATTTGCAAAATGCATCTGAAACAATGTCTGCAGGGGCAAGCATATCTGTGTCAAGTAAAAACATTCCAATTGCCTTTTTTTGACTTGTTTATTTCATTTTACTCTAATGGCCTGGAAACTACCTTGGATCCTTGAAGGCTTTGCTAGTGAAGCATAAACTCTGGCAGATCTTTCTGCCTGGGATAGCCTTTGAGGTAGGGACTGGTGACCAATTTTCATCCAAACTTCTGAAATTGGGAAAGGCTTATTAAAAAGTTTGGCTGCAAATGGATGAATTTTCTTAACATGGCCACCTATAAAATTATCTGCTAAGGAGGGTGCTATTATATTAACGAAATCAAGCCAAGTCAACTTGCATTCATTAAGTACCTACCATGTGTCAGACATGTGCTAAGCACTGGGAACAAAGAAACACACACACACACACACACACACACACACACTCTCTCTCTCTCTCTCTCTCTCTCTCTCTCTCCTCTCCCTCTCTCCCTCTCCCTCTCTCCCTCTCCCTCTCTCCTCTCTCTCTCTCTCCCTCTCTCCCTCTCTCTCTCTCTCTCTCTCTCTCTCTCTCTCTCTCTCTCTCTCTCTCTCTCTCTCTCTCTCTCTCTTTCTCTCTCTCTGTCTCTCTCTCTCTCTCTCACTCCAGAATGAAGTCAAGGATAAATTGGAAGACTAAATCTTTCACTTTGTGACTGATTGCTTTGGCATTAGACATAGTAACTGTTTATGTCATTATAATCTTTCTTAACAGTATTCTTAGATAAAAGGAGATAATAGTTCAATTTAGAAATCCTTCGTATGTGAATGACAGGAGGCAAATATACTGCATAGATGGTACATTAAAAAACTAGGTGTTGTGTTCAGAGTTCAAAACTATTCCTAATATAGAAAGTTTTTAAATTCAGGGAAGAAAAAAATTATTCTTGGGACAGAAAAAAACCTATTAAAAACATTTTAAAATGTGGTAGTTTAAAAGGCAACGTCATTTTTTGCTACTGAAAAGACTTTTGATGAAACCCTTTTGTAGCTTTTGTGGTTGGTACCAGAGGCAGCTGATGCTGCAGTAAATAGAAGGCTAGGTCTGGAGTCAGGCAGACATAAATTCAAACCTGGCATTAGACACTCACTAGCTGTTTAACCCTGGGCAAGTCACTTATCCTCTGACTCAATTTCCTCATCTGTAAAATGGGAATAATACAAGTGTTTACCTCCCAGGGTTGTTGCAAGAATTAAATGAGATAATATATGTAAAAAGCACTTAGTATGTACAATGCCAGGCATATAGTAGGTGCTATCTAAATGTTTGTTCCATTCCATACCATAGGTACTATAAAGTGAATGCTGGATTAGGAGTCTGAGAATTAGGAGTCTGAGAGTCTGGGTTCAAATCTTAACTCTGGCACATTACCTTTATGACTTTGGTCAATTTACTTACCTTTATGGGCCTCGTTTCCTCAACTGTAAAATTAAGGGGCTAGACTGGATGGGCTCTGAGGTCCTTTCTAGCTCTATTGTTGTGATCTTAAGATCCAATCAAATTCTGGAATGCACAATAATACTGTAACCATGGTGCTAACACACTACTTCCACATTGCATTAAAAATAAAAGTTTTTTCTTAAATAATGGAAAGACCATGTCCATCATGCCTACAACCTAACCATATTGAAGCTGAAAATGCACAATGACTTGGTGTAGATCCTCTGTAATGGCCAAAGGGGACAGTCAGTCAGTCAGATAGCATTTATTAAGTGTTTACTGTTTGTACAGGCACAGGAAAGAGGCATCATTTCATGCAACAGCAACTCCTTATTCTTGCCTTCCTTAGGTTCTTCTGGCGTCTGCATCCTCAGATGATCGAGCCAGATCTGTTTTTAACCAAATCATTTTGGCCAGAACTTCCAAACAGTATTGATGCAGCATATGAGAACCCTGCTCATGACCTAATATTCATCTTTAGAGGTAAGTCTTCTGCAAGGGAGCTTTTCCCTACTTTTTTCTTTCTTCTGGATATACATAACCAAATTCAAAACCACTACAATTCTACTCCAGCAGAACTTTGGGATGTAAATACTTTGGATTTCAGAAAGAATAAAAACAATCTGGTGCCTGAGAGCACCCAATACAGTCCTGCTAGCTCTCTCCAAATTTGATTTGTGGAAGATTCAAATTGCTGTTGACCATTTCTAGACTTTGTTGAAAAGCAATTAATTTTAGGCCATGGTGTAAATTTTTCAGTTTAATTTAATCAATAGGCCTTATGCTTCTGATTTGCTAATCACAAAGGCAAAGGCTTTGTAAACCTTGAAAAATAGAATTTTGAAATCACAGATTAGATGTCAGATCTAAAGTAATAGACCATTAGTTTAGAACCTTCATTGTATAGCTGATGATACTAAAGCTCGGGGAAATTAAGTGACTTGCCTAATGTCACAAAGCTAATAACCCGCTTTCCATGGTACAATGATCTACTAACTAGTATCAATCTGTAATTTAGTATTAGTGCTATCTTGCTTGCAGATTAATGCAGAATTTTCATACGTAAATTTTCTCCTAAATTTAATACATGTGTATCATATATATATGTATATACACACACACACATACATACATACACACACATACACACACACACATATATTATATATTTGCATAGATACACAGTAACAGTTGGCAAAACATGGAAACATTTGTGTGGCTGAATTCATAGTTAGGAAATTGGGAGGGTTGGATTTAAACTTGGCTTGAATAATGTTTGTAATTTCATACTTTCAAAAGATAAGGTGACAAAATCATGTGTTGAGGTCATCCATGGCTCCTCTTTTGTTAAGATAAAAGTCTGTACATTTTAAAAGATTCTCTTGGGATCCTGAAATACTGTTCTGCTACTTATCCTAGGCAGAAAGTTTTGGGCCTTGAATGGCTATGACATACAGAAGGAGTACCCCAAGAAAATCTCTCAGCTGGGGTTCCCAAAAGAGGTGAAGAGGATAGATGCTGCAGTTCACATTGAAGCTACAGGCAAGACCCTGTTCTTCACTGGAGATCATCTCTGGAGGTACAGCAACCATCCTTACAGAATCTTCTTTTCCACTGTGTATCCTCTTAGCCAACATGAAAGTTCTTACATACAAGTTAGTTTGGTCTCTCACTAAGAAAATGCAAAGTAAAAGGTGCCACATTTTTTAATGAATCTTAAATAGTCAAATCAATCAGGTGGGGCTGCTAAATTTTAAGTTGTTCCCCCAGTAAAATGTAAACTCCTTGAGGGTAAGGAGTTTTTTATTTTGTCTTCATATCCCCGGTATTTACCCCAATGTCTTGTACACAGAAGAAACTTAATAAATGTTGAATTGGTTTAAAATATTATAAGTCTAGGGCTCTAGCCCTTACTCTTACCCATGCCTAAGCACCCTTGGTCCTTAACTATTGTCTACTAATTAGTTGCCTCAGCTACAATGCAATTATGACTCCCACTTAGACACTTTCATTCAATGTCAAACCCTCCTTTTTTGTCCCCTTTTCAGTCATTCCTTTCTGATTCACACTTCTCTCCCACTCCTTCCTAGACATAACTAGTCATCATAGTAGCTCTCTTTGGAACACCCAAACTTGTCTGCTTTCTACCTATCTCTATCCCTTTTAGGCAATACCATTCAATAGTACTAGAAAGTGACAATTTTCTGGAAGGTCTTCAATTCAGAAGCAGGTGCTCCCTTTGGGGAGTTAGGCAAAGAAAAAAGTCCAGATGCTTTAGCCTTCAAGGATATTTGAAAGTCTGTCACAGCTAGTCCCAGTTTTCCTTTCCTAGTATTATCTTCTACTAATCTTCTATTTGTTTCCTGCACTATAAGTTGGCTTACTTAACATTTGTTGTGTTTTTCTGCCTTTGTACTTGTATTACCTCAAGTGGAGAAGTCCTTGTCATTCTAATTTTTCCCTGTAAAAATCACCCCCTATTCTGCCATCTTCTCCACCCAGCCTTCCTTCTTCACCACAGCAGGAGAGCTCTCTCCCTATTTGGAACTCCCAGGACACTTTTGGTCTTTTCTTAGGGTACTTGGCACACTGTCTGGTATTGCACTTAATAATGATTAACATTTAAATAACTCTTTGAGGTTTCCCAAAGGCTTTAAATGCAATTTGACTCTCACAACAGCCTTGTGAGATAAGTTCTGCTATCATTTTGCAGATAAGGAAAACTAGACTTGGAAACTTCTCCTAACTCTCACCAAGTTAGTAAGTGTTAGAGAAAAGATTTGAACTTCAAGTCTAATACATTTTCTATTATTCTAAGCTATCATTCATGAGTAGGCCTTATCTTCCCTACTACAATATAAGGTCCTGGAGGACAGAAGCCAGTTCTTTGTATTGTAGTTTTTGCCAAGCCTTGCACAGTTCTTTACACATAGTAGGTTTTTAAAAACTTTTTTGGATGAATAAATGAATGAATGAATATGTATCACTTGGTAGGTCATTTTCAATAGTATCCTTATAATTTAGATGTCTACCTAATGGAATCAAGGAAGGTCTCAGAATCAATCTGCAAAAAGTAGCTTTCAGACTGCCATCATGAGATCATGGGTTTAGGGCTCATGGGTTCATAGATTTAGAACTAGAAGGGACTGTAGTCTAACCTCCTCGTTTCACAAACAAGTGAATTGAAACCAAGAGAGTTGAAATGTTGTACCTGAGGTTACATGATTTATTAATTATCAAATCCACAGTGAGCAAACACTTAAGTACCTTTTGTTGTTCTTTGTTCATTGTTCAGTCAGGTTCTTTGTGACCCCATTTAGGGTTTTCTTGGCAAAGATACTGGCATGGTCCGCCATTTTCTTCTCCAGCTCATGAGGAAACTAAGGCAAACAGAGTTAAGTGACTTGTCAAGGGTCACACGGCTTTTAAGTGTCTGAGCTTGGATTTGAACTCATGAAGATGAGTCTTCCTGACTCCAGGCCTGGCATTCTAGCCACTGTGCCATCTAGCTGCCCCTATTAAGTACTTGGCACTACATTATTACTTCTGGTTATTTGAATTCAAATAGGAAACTCAATGTCAAGACCTTCTGTCAGTTTTCTTTCCTAAGACTATCCAGCTGATAAGAGATTTCCTTTTTCTTATTGCTGTAGCTATGATGAAACTAACCACACAATGAACGAAGGCTATCCCAGACCACTCGAGGAAGAATTCCCAGGAATTGGTAACAGAGTAGATGCTGTCTATGAAAAAAATGGTAGGTATTTCTACACTATTTGCTTTTCAGAAACTAGTCCTATTTGTCTATATACATCTCCTATAAAATGGGCCCAAGACATGTTTAATGATGTTATAGGAAGGAATTATGGGTTAGCTGTTCAGGTATCACAATTTACTTAAATTATAGAAGGTAGAAAACACAAAGAGTAAAAAAATACTTTGTGTGAAATAAAAATGGTAATATTTATTGGTTTCAAATGCTATGAATAAGGAAATTTACAACAATATGATATACTAATTATCATGGTAAAATATATATTAATCTCTGCAGTTTATAGGTACCTCATTTATAGACTTCCTTTGAGCCACTGGCAGTGTTGGGCTCAGAAAGAAAAAGGCTTTACAACAGCCACATATTTGGTCATTTGAAATTCCCAATCAGTAATTTCTTTCTTTCTCTCCAATTTTTCTATTAATCTTTCCTCTTCTTCCTCTTCCTTCTCTTCATTCTCCTTCACTTTTCTCCCTCCTCTTCTTGTTCCTCCTCCTGTTCTCCCTCTTCTTTCTCCTCATCCTTTCCTATGTCTCCTCCTCCTCCTTTTTGTCTTCCTTCCCCCAATCCCTTAACATTTTGGAAATAAAGTTTCAGATCCTAAGACACAATTGGCGTCACCAGAATCCAAGTTTGAGGAGCAAAGTCTAGGAAATTAGATGCTTTTTCTCCTATAATTAGGACATGTGTAGGACACATGCTTATTTTAGAAGCCTAGATTTGTTCTTGGATGTTAATGAATACTAGGTTCCTGGGACAAGACCTGATACATAGAGGTATTTAATACATGCTTGTTGGTTGAATTTATTTTTTAATTTTTTTTTAATTTTTATTTTTTTTGGGGGGTCCAGGCAATGGGGTTAAGTGACTTGCCCAAGGTCACACAGCTAGTAAGTGTTATGTGTCTGAGGCTAGATTTGAACTCAGGTACTCCTGAATTCAGGGCCAGTGCTCTATCCACTATGCCACCTAGCTGCCCCAGTTGAATTTATTTTTTAAAGAACAAATGAATAAGTACCAACCTATTTTGTGGGACCTAAAAATTAGAAAGAGGATTTAAAATATTATTTGGGGTGACTCATTTTTCATATTGTCTAAATAAAATTTTTTCTCCCTAGGTTACATATACTTCTTTAATGGAGTCTTACAGTTTGAGTACAGCATCTGGAGTCAACGCATTGTTAGAGTCATGCCAACCAATTCCCTCTTGTGGTGTTGAATGTGGCTATGTTATTTTATATCATAGTTCAATTTTCACCCATGAAGAAATGTGACTACAGATTTTGGGGCCTACCCAGGAGAGAGCCTCCTTCTGTCAGCAAATTCCCTGTGAACTTTATTATTAAAATTGCACTGTAAACATGGGGAAGTGGTAAAATGTTATGTCAGGCTGGAACTGCATTGTAGTTATTTAAATCAATGTAATTCTGTATCTCTGTGGTCTACCAGATGTGTTAAGCATGACAAACAGAAGTCCTGTGGAGAAAGGTTAACCATGGGGGGCAGGAGGGGGAGGGGAATGGCTGGAATGAATATACCCTGGTCAACTTCCCAAAGACCAGAAGAAACAATTTGATATTCTACCAAGAACATTCTCATTTCTGAGCCTGTCTCCCAATAGTTACTAGTGGGAAACTTAAGCAATCACCAAAGGCAATGAGGGTAGTCTAATGATTAGGACAGCATAATTGAAAGTCAAGAATCCTAGCTTCTGTTCCATTTTAGTCATGCAAATGGCCCAGAGGATGAATTTCAGTGAGGCAAATACTATCATTTGGAAGAAAAGGGCCAACTAGCTATCCGGTTTTTGTTTTTTGTTTTTTGGGTTTTTTTGTAAGATACTTTAGGTCTTTTTATTTTATTTTAAATGTTTTATTGATGCTTTTTTATATCACAGTTATTTCCCAATAATTCTCCTTACTAAGAGAACCCTCCCTTATGACAAAGAAAAGCAATTGCATCTGGCATTGTATGTAGCATTCCATACCCAGAGTCCTCCATTTCTCTACTGAGAGGAGGGAAGCATGTTTTCTCATTGGTCTTCCAGAAGCAAGATGGATCATTGTATCTGAGTTCCCTTGGATCTCTTTAGATCTACAAGATGGAGTGGAGACTTAATAGTCGTTATCTGGATAATTTAAGCCAAAAAAAAAAAAAGAAAGAAAGAAATGATTGCCTTCCATCATTTGGGTATTTTAGGCAAAAGTAGTTGTGGTTTTGCATATTTTAAATAGGTAATTGCCTTAATTGTCTACTGCATCAGGAATGTGTAGATACAGTTCTTGTTTAGACTTCTTACTTTGTGATAAAAGTTGCTTTATAGATAGATTGAAAATGACAACCAGAGATATCCAACGTAACAATAAAAATTATGCCAATCCAGGAAAGGTTCATGAAGCTAGAAGATCTTGTGGTTTAAAAAATGGATAAAGAACAAGAAGTAGCATTACACTTTTCAAATGCACTTGGAAAAATTCATAATAAAATTAATTTAACTCTAAATATATTGTTAAATAGTATTTTTTCCTGTATGTATCTTCAACTTCCCTCCCCCCCATATGTGGTCTGTATTTTATATACCTGTTACACAGAAAGTTTCCACAGTCAACACAAGGAATATGTGAGTTAATTTTTAATTGCTTTAAAAGTAAGACTTCAGTGACCAACTATGCCTATAACCTCTTCTACCAGAGTGGATGAGGCTAGGGGATCTCTTGAGTTCAGAGGGTTCAGAGATGCTGTGGGCTGCACTGTTTGGCATTGATATGTTGGGGGAGACACTAGATTGCCTAAGGAGGGATGAAGTAGTTTAGGTTGTAAATGGAGCTGGTCAAATCTCCTGGACAGATCAGAATGGGGCTGGGCCTGTGAGTGACTCTGCATAGCTTTGTCAAGATAGGAAGGCTCAGTCATATGACAGCAACAAACACAGTAAGTGACATGTGCAGGTTTGTGTCAGCTTTCTTCCCAGGCAAGTTTCTTTTAGTATAATGAGAATGAATGAATGAATGAATGATGAGAACGTGGGAAAATCTGAGTTCTGCTGAAGCTGAGAATAGTTACATCGTTCTCTTCCCTAAGGCTTTTCTACTCTGAGCACTTTCAGGTGGTGGAGTGCAAGGACCCTTACACTAGGAGTTAGGAGACCCATCTCTCTTCCTAAATATCTATGTGACTTTGAGCAGGTCACTTATTTCTCTTGGCTTCAGTTTCCCCACTTGTAAAATGAAGGGGTTGGATTAGATAACCTCTAAGGTCCAGCAAGGATAAGAAGTAGAAAGAACAAAGGTCACTTGCTTGAGTACAAGCCAGTCCCTACAGCCACATGGTCCAGTTATATTCTCTTTCTCATAGCCATCCACATGCCCCACTGCTTGTGTTCTGCCCCAGATTACACAAAAGGAGGGAGGACAGAATAATTTCAAGGCAAGTTCTGATTTGTTGTTGTTACCCACAGTATGCCAATGCTGTCTGTGGGGTTTTCTTGGCAAAGATACTGGAGTGGTTTGCCATTTCCTTACCTAGAAGATGGAGGCAAACAGAGGTTAGGTGACTTATCAAGAGTCACACAGCTATTAAGTGTGAAGCCTTATTTGAACTCAGGTCTTCCTGAATTCACCTAGCTGAATCACCTAATGGCCTCTGAGGTACTAATTATAGATGGAAATAAAATTGCTCATTTTGAATAGAATAGATTAAAAAAAAATCCAGAACACTAAGGGCAATTCAATATGTTGAGAAAGAAAAAGGGATAAGGCTAAAATTACTAATCCAATCAAAGGAGAAATAGGCATCAGGTACTGATTTTAATCAGGTGATACCTTTCAACATCATATTTGTGTCTCTACCACTAGATTCCAGAGTGGCTTAGATATTATGCCATTCATTTGGTAATAATTTATGTAATATCATTTGGTAATATTTTATAAGGGTAATATTTTACAGAAAAATAGTCATAGCTTTAAGAGTTGGAAAGTTATTTAGTATAATCCTCCCATAAATAACACATTTCATCTCCAATTTTGAAATCTTTTTTAAAAAAATCAACCTATTTCTTTAAAGAGATGATGTTTCAATCTATTCCTAGAAGCACCTAAGTGGTGCCATGGATAGGGTTCTAGACCATGCATAGGGTCAAGAAGACCTTAGTTAAAATCCACCCTTACACACTTACCAGCTGTGTGACCTTGAGCAAATCACTTAACATCTGTCTTAGTTTCCTCAAAAGTAAATTGGGTGTAACTTTAACACCTATCTCATAAGGTTGTTGTGAGAAACAATTGTGATATTTGTAAAGAACCTGAGCACAGTGCCTGGTATGTAGAAGATGCTTAATAAATATTTGTTTCTTTCCTTTCTTTCCTTTAATAATGATGATGCAACTAAGTATATAAAATAAATTCCTGACTTGTAAAGTTTACCAGGTATCGTACTAGATGAGAAACCTAAGACTATCGCTGGAGTCCCTAGGCTTTAGGACCCAGGGCCATCCAGGGAGTCAGAAGCAGAGCCAATCACAGCTGCTATAGGCCCAGTCTCTTCTCTCTCTGTCCCCTCCCCACCCCTGATTCAATGTAACACTAGGAGAATATGGGCAATAAGGCAAGAGTACTTACTGTATAGAACCCAACCTTCTACCCATGCTTCTGTGTTTATACAATCAGTTGCCAAATCTTATTGATATCTCTCATATCCATCCCCTTCTCTCCACCATACTTCGACCATCCCAGTTCAGACCCAATCGTCTAATTCACATATTACTACAGTGGACTAGTTGGTCTCACTGTCTCCAGTCTCTTTTTCTCTGCAATCTACTTTCCACATAGTTGCCAAATTGGTATTCCTAAAGCACACTCCTAGTTATTTTAAACATAGCCAGCATTTGTATAGTGCACTTTATGCATATCTCATTTATTTCTCACAACAACACTGTGGAATAGGTGCTATTATTATACCCATTTTAGGGATAAGTAAACTGAGACTGAGAGGCACTTGACCAGGGTCATACAGCTAGTAAGTGTCTAAGGAAGAATTTTAATTCAGGACTTTCTGTCACCAAACCTAGCTCTCTACTCACAGTGCCGCATAGCTGATTATATTACTCCTCCGCTCAAGAAGCTGCCCTGGCTCCCCTTTGTATATAGAATAAAATACAAGTCCCCTGTTTGGCACTTAAAGCCCTTGACAGTATGGCTCTATGTTGATTCCACATTTCTTCTTTTCATGAACTCTGTGCTTCTGCCAAACTAGTCTACTTGCTATTCCCTATATTTGACATTTCATTGTCTTTCCTCTTTGTCTTAACATAGGTTGTCTCACATACCTGGGATTCTCCCCCTTCTCCTTCAGGAGACCCTTCCTGATTCTCCCGGTTGTTTGTGTCCTTCCCTCCTCCACTTCTGAAGTTACTTTCTATTTATTTTCTGTGCATCTCATACTTATTTATTTTTGACCATGTTGTAACCCCTCAGTAGAATGTGAGCTCCTTGAGGGCAGGCATCATCTCCCTTTTGTATCTGAATCCCCCGTGTCTAACACATGCCTGGTACATAGTAGGCATTTCATGAATGTTTGTTGATTGAGTGTTGATCGATGCAGGGACATTTCAGATGTTAATAACTTTCATTTTCATAGCATTTTAAGGTTTACGTGGTATCTTCTCACAATTACCCTGTAAGGTAATGTAAGTATTATTATCTTCATTTTACAGATCACGAAACTGAGGTTTGGAGAGGTTAAGAGAATGGCCTATAATCACAAAGTGGGGAAATACCTGAGGTGGGATTCAAACCCTAATCTCCAGACTCTGAGTCTAGCATCATCCTCACGGTCCTTTAAGCATGATCCCTCTGAAGGGATAGGAAGGTAAATGGGTGTATGTGCTCGTTTACTCCTCCATTGAAATGAAAGCTCATGGTGAGCAGGAATTGTTTCATTCGTCTGCATATTTATGGCTTTAGGTCTTAGCAGTACCTAGCACAGAATTGGTACTTGATAAACGCTTGTTGATTGATGGATTGAAATAAGTGTGCATGATCACCTGGAGCATTCTTTGGTTGCTGCACGTCTTTACTTGGCAAAGAGAAATGCTTCTCGGCTGAGGTGGCTTCTGAGTTCCATGGACATCCATTCAACTTCCCTAAGAAAAGATGAGAGTCAATGTCTATTCTGTCTCTTTTCCTATTAAAAAAAAATCAATGGTTCTTTGACATGGGTCAGTTTGGAGCAATTGTAACCACAGGTATTTTGTTTTAAATCTTTATCTTTCATTTGCTGATTTGTTTATTTTGATCCTTTACACTTTATCTTCATCCTTTTTTTTCCCAAAGGACAAAGTTGACTTTATTCTTTTCTCTTATCAGTCAACAATCCAACTGCATGTGCCGATCTCATTCTCAAATGACTGCTATATTTGCAACCAATCTTTTCTTATCTGTTGAGATATAGTCAATTTCATTTAAAATATGATGTTGATTGGCATTTGCCTTATCCTCAGAGTCTTCTGTGGAAAGAAAACATTCACAATGTGTAAATGTGAGGTTTTTGAGTCTGGCACAAGACTTTGGCCTCTCATCTTTTTGATATCACACCATATTTTTTACTTATGAGTCTGGTTACCAGGGGAAAAAATCATGACTGACAAGAGTGGCCATCTTCATATTCATACATATTTACGAGAAATACAACTTCTAAAGTAATGATAAGAATATCTTATATTTTATAACACTTTCTAGATTTCAAAGCACTTTTGCACTGACAATATCCTTTGTTTCTCATAAAAGATTATACAAAATAGGTTGGGCAGATATTATTATTCACATTTTACAGATGAAAAAATAAACTCTCAGAGAGCATAATTTCAATTTATTTCAAGTATTTATTAACTGTACACTTTGTGAAAAGCGCTGTGGTGGGTGTTGGAGATACAAATTAAAAATAATACAGCCCATAACCTCGAGTAGCTTACCTACTGGGGAGGGGGTTGGGATACACTATTTAGGTCAGTCATTTTTCTGGCCTTTCAGACTCTTCATGACTCCGTTTGGGGTTTTCTTGGAGAAGATTCTGGAGTAATTTGACATTTCATTCTCCAACTCATTTTACAGATGAGGAAACTGAAGCAGAGAGGGTTAAGTGACTTGCCCAGGGTCTCCCAGCTAGTAAACATTTGAAGCCAGATTTGAACTCAGAAAAATAAGTCTTCCTGGCTCTAGGCCTGGTACTCTATCCACTGTGCCACCTAGCTCCCCTGGGATGCAATAGGCATGCAAGTAAACAAAAGATATAGACCTAGTAATATGAAATCATTTTTAAGGAGATAATGTTAATGATGAGAAGTGAGGGGAGAGGAGATCAGAAAGGTCCCATGTAGAAACTGATGATACCTGAACTGTGCTTTGAAGGAAGCTGGGGGTTGTACTAGTTGAAGGTGAGAAAGTTAGGAGACCTGCCCAATTCACATAG